GTGTATTTCATGGTTTGGCCTAAAAGTGCCAAAAAATGATTTGTGATTTTCTTGGGATTGTTTTCAATGAAATCCATGATATGTTTGACTGATTGCTGAGTTCGGCCGCAAATGTTGACAATTCTGGGTATAGTTTGTGCTATTCTTAAGCCATCATTGGTCACCAACTTATAGTTCGGTTTCATTAATACGTGGGCGTTCACACCACCTAGACCAAAATTGTTCACCCCAACCAAACCTTAACAAGAAATAAAAATAATTACCGTATAAAATTTAATAATATAGGTATATTTCTTAGTCAACTAACCAGGCGTATATGGTAACGTGTCATTGATCGGTGATAATGGTGGACAATACACAGCACATTCATCCTTGATCTTGGTCAAATTCAAATTGGCGGGAATGCATTCGTTCTCATAAGCGATGCACACCTTAATAATAGCTGCCGTTCCGGAACCGGCCTCCGTGTGGCCTATATTGCTCTTAAGCGCACCCAGAGGTAACGGCGCCTCACGTCCCGGCCCTTTGCAGTAGGCGTTGTATATGGCCTTTAATTCTTGAGGATCGCCAGCCTTCGAGTAAATATTACGATAATTATCCATTTAATTCATATTATTTGCTCAATTAACATGCAAAATTATCTAATTAACTGTACCATTAAAAGTTATGTACCAATATTAATGATTCATTTAATTTTCATATAGATTATATATATAATTTTTTGTTTTTAATTTAAATCTTTTGTATATGACTCATTGGAAATTAATTATCTAGTAACATGCAATGTCTAATAAATGTTTAAGTTGAAGTATTATTGTATCCGAGTTAAATTTACTAATAATATACACAAAATACTTTTATAATGGCATACCTTAGTGCCGGTGCAATGGGCCTCGAAGTAGGTTAGGTCGAGGGGGTCGACATTAGCCTCCTTATAGGTCTCAATCATGAGCTCCTCCTGTGCCTCAGCCGATGGAAAGAACATCCCTATAGTCTTATTGCCGTCGATATTCATTTTGGCGGCCAATACGGTGGCGTACACTCGGCGGGCCTGTCGGCGCCGTTGTAGGAAAGTACAGCACACGGCCTCCCCTTTCACGAAACCGTCGGCGTCCTGGTCCAGTACGGCTGCCACTCCCCTCTGCGAACACAAACCCGACTCCTGTTGGAACTGTAGTACGAAGGGCTCGAACACCATATGAGTGCCGCACACGATGGCACTGTCCACGTTGCCTATAGTATCGGGGTTAGTTTTGTTGTATTAATTACGATTCATTATAAGAAAACTAAAAATGCTTTTCGTAATGTCATTGCTACTATGTAAATGTTTAGTACTACTGTACGCTATAATGATTATTATCAATTCATTATTTATTATTAGCAATACAATTAATTAATTGTTAATAAATTCTCGCTATAAATAATACTAATTAATTTGCACTTAATTGTAATACAGATCTAAATACATATCGTAATTGTAATACAATTTGTAAATAAACAAATCAAATCTTTGTCTCTCAATGCATACCGAGTTTCATATCATTAACAGCCAAAGTGGTGGCCGAGAGACTGGCCGAGCAGGCGGTGTCCACTATCATCGACGGACCCTTGAAGTCAAACACGAATGATATGCGACTCGCATAGAAAGTCTTGGTGTTGGACATGAACTGGAGGGTCGTGCCCTGCAAATTGGTCCTGATGTCAGGCTGTATGTCCTCGGGATAGCCCTGGGTGTTGGCGTATATGGACACACCTACGTATACACCCGTACGACTACCGCGGAGATCCTGGGGATTAATTCCTGGATCATTTACAAATAAAAATTATCAATTTGGTTAACATCCTTTTTCAGTCAATAACCCATTATTTAATAGTATCATATTTTTAGTATATTTTATACTTATGCTTAAACATGGTGAACTTTTATAGAATTAGCGTTAACAACTATCCAGTGTAGTTTTGTTAAAGTAAACACTAAACTGTTGTTAACACTAACTCTATACCGGTACAGTATTGTAAAAGTGATTTTCAAACTTTTTGACTATTATAGATTTATATAACAGTTTGCACTGTACTGTATAGTTAAAGTAATTTTACATTTTAATGCAGTAGGCTAAACTATTTTTTCGTAAACGTACAATAGATATAAAATGAATGGATACCTGCGTCGGCAATAGCCTCGTACACCACCTCCAGGAGCATCCGGGCCTGTGGGTCGACCTCATTCATCATTTGCTCCATAAGCCCAAAGAAAGTGGAGTCAAACTTATTGAAGTCCATTATCTTTCCCATCCGTGGGTTCAAGTCGTATAAGTCTTGAGTAAAAGTATTTTAATCGCAAATATAAGAAAATATTTTTGAAAATTAAATGTGAATTAAAATCTGTTTTAAGGCTTACCCGATGGCCACCGGGTGTCGTCCCCCGTAATCATATCCACCTTATCGTACAGATTCTTAGCCAACTCGTCGGTGTTGTCCGATAAGGGGAACCGACCGGAAATACCGCTGATCACGATGTCGTTGTCAGACATGTTTTTATTTATTTTTTTAAAAAGTTTTTAAAATATTTTTTTTGTGAAAGATTATAAAATACACTCAAAACTGAAATACAAATTATGATTGAAAACTCGTATAAAACTTCAGAAATGAATTATCGCTTAAGTGTCCACAACATAAGCAAAGGACTAAACACTCAGTACACCGCTTATATACCGCGGTAATTCAATTCAATTTTAAATGTTTAATAAAAATAAAACAGTTATTTAACTTATGATTATCAAGCTTAACAGCATAACATTAATTAATCGATAATTATATTAAATACAATTAATATATTAATTAAAATACAGTTATGTGAAACATGCAAACTAGCACAGGGATTGGAAAATACCTGCCTACTTGAATAACTTAAATTTTTAATATTATGCCTATTATTATATAAAAATCTTAATTGTAGCACAAAGGTGAAGGTTACTTGTACGGTGCACGTAATAAATCTACAATAAATCATATATGCTAATAAAATTTAATCGTGTTGTGTAATGAAAAAACATTTAATTAATGTAAACTTATAATTAATGCTTTAATAAATTGTCATATGTCACATAATGATATGAAATACGTCAAATCCTTTGTGTATAAAAAACAATTGACCGTGCACCTAATGTACGATAATACTAATTTGATCATTATTTTGACAATAACATTTAATATGTTTATGCTGGAGGGTACATTATTTCAAAATAAAAAACAAATTCAAGGATTTAAAATTTAATCTTCATTACTAATTTTCATCAGTTTCGTATGAATTATATAATTTATAAATTCATATTGATTTGTTTATACACGCACATTTTTATTGCGAAATGTTTTTTATGTTTGTGAGAAATACAGTATATTTTTATACTTTGTCTTAAAAATATAATATTTCTACAAATATTTATATCAGATTTAATTTTATAAATTAATAAAATCATTTAACATTATCAGATTTAATATTTATAAGTATTGCATCAAGGCGAATAACCCTATTTCAAATACCTATTTTAAATATAAATAATTTTACTAACCGCTCATTATTTAATAAAACATAATGTATATAATTATATTAAAATTAAAATAGTATTTAAATTTCAAATCTATTTTATTTTAATCTATTAATATAATAATACAAAAAGGGGTTTTTATTTTTTATTTAAAAAATGTATGATTAAATTTTTAACTAATTGCACAAAATAGGCATGCAACTCATAATTATTTAATTAAAATGAATAAATGTGCAATATTTTCCTTTTATTAATCCATACAATCGACTATTAAATGTTCATTAATTTTAAATTGCTCAACAATTTAGAAATCCTGTTTCACACATTGTAAAGTTTTACATTGATTTTACATACAATACTAATAAATTAACTTTTAATGTTTAAAATACAACGATGTTAAAATATTGTATCAGTGCTAAATACTAAATGATTTAAGTAAAAATATTATAATTTTAAAATATGTTTTAATACTGGTTTAATTAAATGATATCATTTAAAAAGTATCTTTTACCGGTATTATAAAGTTATTAGAACTTAAGCATTAGTATCAGTATATTAAAGCATGTATCCCACATTTTACAGTATTAAACTTTGGAGATTATTAATTACCTGGATAGTGTGATGGGAAAATAGCGTGATGTATATTTCTTACCAGGGGGCAACGGTATATATTTAAATAATTTATAACATGTATTTTATTTTAATATCTATAATAAAATTATAAGTTCTTTAGAGTTTGTTATATTGTATATTTATTATGTAATTTTAAAATTTATAATGTAATTATAACATTATGACAATTATGAATTATAAGTTATAAAATTTACAAGTGGTTAAATTAAACAAGTTGTAAAAGTAATTTTGTACATTAATGTTATTTAATTGCAATCAAATTTTAGTGAAACCTATTTGTTTGATAAATTTCTAAATAAAAACAAATTTATTGCGCTAGCACATAATGTAAAAATAATGCAATATATATATCCATAATAAACTTCAGGTCTCGTGTAGTCCCAACCTCGGACCATTATGTTTTTTATTGACATAAGGGGCAAGGTGATTGGACTCAAATAGGACACGAACCTAAAATAGCTAGGAATGGCCTCCACGGGCCATACAATGCCCGATATAAAAGCAATCGGCAAATATAGTCCAAATAATGAACCCTGTTTGAATAAATAAAAAATAATTAATTATTTCTAACTGTACAATTTGAATAAAATCTAAATACAAATATGAATTTAATAAGATACTTGAAAAATAAAATTACCATGAGCGAAATCACATTAGGTAGAAGTAAGGTTAATAGTAAGCCATATGATATTCCAACAAATGTCTCCATAAACAGCAACACAAATATTTCCAGAAAACTTCCACGCTGCTCAACATTAAAAATTACAAATAATCCCACCATGGCAATAGCAACAAGGCCTGTACTGATGGCAATATTTACGGCCATATGAGCCATAAAATACTCGTGAGGCTTAACACCCGCTACAAACACCCTCTCAATAGTGCTTTTTGACTTTGCGGTCATCATAACCACCGATGATAGTACCATGGGCATTAATACAATCATCATTACGAGTACGGGAGTGCCAAATAGATCAAATGTGATGAATGCTTTATCTATATGACCGTAAAGCACCTCGATTATTTGTATGGGAGTGTTTAATTTGTATAAATTAGGCTGCCCAAGTTCGATTCCTAATTTATCCAGAAATTTGTTAAATCCGGTGATTAAATGCTTCAACGACATTAACCCTATGAATGTAACTAGGGAAAAAATGTGTAGCACACTAGTTAGATGTTTAATATTTATTTTTATTTATTTTAGGCGAGTTTTGTATTGGTACTTGCAACAATACTGTTTAGCAGTATAAGTTACACTGAAATAGTCATGACAAAACATAGTTTACCATGCTCATTTGTGAAACAGAACACTGAAATTGACATTAATGTATTTAAAAAAGACATGCATACCTGTATAATCAAGGTACAAATATATGCCACTTTGGTTCAACTCCTCATCCGTAGCGCTCAACGGATCGGTCACTCGTGTCTCGAAAGCGTCGGAAAAGTTTTGTCTGAACTCAAGCGCCAAATAATTAAGTCCATTGCGTACGGAATTGACGGCACTCTCGAGGTCCGGGTATTCGCGAAACTTTATAGACTGCTTACCGACTGAGTCGATAAACATCCTGGGCCAATTTTTCGGTGACGTGTCATTGTTATATAAAGCGCCGGGAATGTTGATTGTATCTTGGGCTACTACCATGTTAAACGTTATTATTGTCACAAGTATCACGGTTAAATATATAAATAGGAAAAGGGGGTTGCGTTTAAAAGTTATCCAGTACTTCATTAGCATTGCTTTAACACGTGTCATGTCTATTATACGCGTGTTATCTATGTTTACCGTATTTTCCAAACAATTTTCATTTATTTTATTATTAATATAATATTCTTCCCTTAATTCGTGAATAGATTTTTGTTTAACTTTTTCCGGATTTTGTTGATAACATAACTTTATGAACACCTCCTCGAGTGTTGAGCACTGGTATTCTGACATGAGTTGGTTGGGCGCCGACTGTTTCAATATAGTGCCGGCCCTCATGAACGCCACCTGAGCTGCACTCCGGGCCTCCTCTATATAATGAGTCGTTATTATCACTGTTTGGCCTAAAATTCAAAAAACATAATTTATAACTATTTTTAATTCTTAAAAAATACCTTTTGTTTGGCACAAGTTTTCCAAATACTGCCATATCTTATGTCTGAGCAGTGAGTCGACCCCCACAGTGGGCTCATCCAGTATAATAAGTCTCGGTCTGTGAATCATAGTTATAGCGATCGACACCCGGCGCTGTTGACCACCGCTTAACCGACTGATAATCCGTGACTTTTCCGGTAAATTCAATATTTCTCTCAAATTCGCGATTCTTTTATCAATTTCCTGACGATTCATATGATATA